ATATTTATATTTCAATTTTACAAGTCCATTGGCTTTTATATGTATGATGTGATCTCAATTTTGATAATTTGATATTTAGAAGTGATATTTTGATTGTCAAATGTATGTACACCTCAAATCATATTGATCTATGATATATTACTTAATATATGTAAATGCAAGTTTTGAAGTCACTGTGATAGTAAATGGCAATGTGTCACATACAAAGAACATACCTAATGTAGAGAAATCAGTGATCGAAATGCATAATTTACATAACTAAATTGGCCATTATTGCGCTCATTATTGCTCTGACTCAACATATATCAACAAACTCCTATATATAATTTAATTGAAGCTTAACTTTAATTCATTTTGAATTAAGATGATTATATATTTTTTTAAATCATAATGGGAATCAAACATGTAGACATATCCTTAAAATAAGTCAAAATTTAGTTGGCTCTTCATCATAATGTAAATACATATACGGGCATTACCGCTAAACTTACAATTCAGGTGAACACAATGTACCATAATACGAGTATTTTAAAATCAAATGAAGGAACTGTAATATGTCTTGTTTTAATACTGGTTAAATTCCAATTCTGAAAGTATTTCTTAATGTTTCACAATATAAAAATGGCACTTACCGGGTAGTTGTCATTATTGGACATATTTTTTATTTAGAAAAGAAATCTGAAATGTTTTATATATGACAGATCTATTTCAAAATGTCATTTTGTGTTTCATTTGTAAATTAGATTAGGACACCACAGTACAAGTGACGATCCTACAACATATAGAACAGATGAGGAAGCTGCTTACTGGGGAAGACATCATCCTATTGATAGATGCAGAAAGTTTATCACCAAGAAAGGATGGTGGAGTGATGAAGAAGAAAAAACATGGTACAAAGAAACAAGACAAATGGTAAAAGTATTCTAACAATCTATGCTTTATTGGTCTCCGTTCGGATGCAGTCCGAAAACGGGACTTATGTTTTGACCTCCGTGCATGTGTCTGCTTCTGTGCGTGCGTGCGAGCGTCCGGACCTGTATCTTAGAAATGCCTGCTGGACCAATCACAATCAAACTTCACACATACATCATACATAATATTATACATATGCACATCAATTTGTTTCACAATCTGATTCAAGATGGCCGAATGGCAGCCATTTTTGTGCTAAAAAATCATCAAAATCAAGCATTTCTCGGCTGTTTACAGATGGATTTTGGGCAAACTTGGTATATACGTTGGTCATCATAGGACCTTGATGCACTTCATTTTGTTTTTCAGATAAGATTCAAAATGGCCAACAGGCGGCCATTTTGTTTTAATGAATGTGGTTCTAGTGCCATATCTCTGACATGCTTTGACATAGATATACAGGTACATTTTGTATATTGGTTTGACTATCTGATTCAAAATGCCCAAATGGCGGACATTTTTATGCTGAAAAATCATCACAAATCAAGCATTTGTGGCATTTATGGATTGATTTTGTTGAAACTTGTACATACATTAGACATTATAGGTTCCTGATGCACGTCATTTTATTTTTTAGATCAGATTCAAAATGGCTGACTGGCGGCCATTTTATTTTAATGAATGCGCTTCTGGAGCAATATTTCTGACATGCTTTGACTGATTATGTTAAGATTTTATATATTCATTATACATCATGACATAGATATAAAGGTATATTGGTTTGACTATTCGATTAAAAATGCCCAAATGGCGGCCATTTTTATGCTGAAAAATCATCACAAATCAAGCATTTGTGGCATTTATGGATTGATTTTGTTGAAACTTGTACGTACATTAGACATTATAGGTTCCTAATGGACATCATTTTATTTTTTAGATCAGATTCAAAATGGCTGACTGGCGGCCATTATATTTTAATGAATGCGCTTCTAGAGCCATATCTCTGACATGTTTTGACTGATTATGTTCAAATTTTATATATTCATTATACATTAAGTTATAGATATATAGATGTATTCAAAATGGCCGATTTTGTTTTAATTAATGCTGTTTCAGAGCAAAATCTCTCAATATGGACAAGTACTCGTTTGACGATCAGATACAACACATCAATCATTTTAATGTAAAAAAATCATAATCATATTCCTGACATGTTTATATTCAAACTATATTAACTATTACTATAAACAAAACTATACATCTTAAATTCGATAATTAACTGGGACTGTGTCATGCATGGCTTGTGATGAATATTTTTGACTTCTTGTTAGAAGCGCAAATCCAATTGATTTGATATTATACATATAGGTACTACAGGTAGACCTCTCAGATTGATTAATTTTGTGATGATATCTTCAGTTCTCCAATTGAAATGTGCAATGCTAACAGTGGAGTTATCTCAGGTGAGAGACTATTTGTTCACTCTCTCTCTCTCTGAGACATGTGCCTGACCAAAACATCAAATGACAATTTATGGTCATGTAAATGTCCTGCACAGTTAGTCTTGAAAACCACCATTGCTGCTATGCAGCTATATTTTATTATTACTGTGTAAACTTAATTCACTGTATGTTGCACCTTTAATATGATTTTCTATTGTGTTCTGTAATCTAGATCATAAACTCCATGGATCGAGCTGAGAAGAAACTTCTACCCAATCCGCATGAGATTTTTACAGATGTTTATGATGAGTTGCCAGAAAGACTAAAGCAACAGTCAGAATCATTACAAAGACATTTGAAAGAGTACAAAGATGAATATCCTGATTTAACAAAATTTCATATGGAATAATATTGTTGCACTGTGATGTGCTTTAAAATTATATATCTACTTATACCATGCATAAATGACCTATTACAGATGTAAAAGTAATTCCTTGTGATGTACTTGACTGTCAGAGGCATTTAGGGACGACGTCAAAAGATCGATGTTGGATAAAAAACTTATTTGCTTTAGTTTGGGGGGGGGGTTTGACCTCAAAAAGTTTCCATCCTACAAAAACGATTTTATTAAGTCAAAAAAATCTTGAAGTATTTGTAGTTCGTTTTGTTTTTTTTTCTATCCAATCATGGACAGAAATAACAGAAAATGAAAAAAACCCACATTCAAGACGAGGAAATGGTTTGGTCAGAATTTAAACATGTGCGTCAAATGAGGTGCATTTGTAAAGTCTTTTTACACCCACCCGACAACCAACTGCTATGCCATACTACTGTCCGATTATCAATTTGTATTTAATGGTGAATGTAGTCTGACACCATGACCAATATTTATCAATTAAGTTTCAGTGGTGGGTGGGGGGTTTTTGAAAAAACCTACTAAAGGAATTAAGTTTTTTATCCGACATCGATGTTTTGACGGCGTCCCTTGCATATGTTTAGTGGCAACATGCATGTTAAACATGTTTAATTCAAATTATAATCATTTTTTTCCTTAGATGATCATTGTAGTGGAAAGGACATTGACAAATACATGCCTAGTATCAAACTATAATGTGTCAATTGGGATTTCTCAGTGGATGCTATATTTGTGAGAATATCTGATTAGTTTAGAATACATGTATAATGATTTATTTATAATTTAAGGGATTATCTGGATTATTACTACTTGTTAATTTCGAAAATACATTTGATTCAGTTGAATGGCATTTTATTATAAAAAATTATGAACAGAATAAATTTTTGTGAAGATGCGAAAAAATGGATTACAACTTATGTTACTCTATTTTTGCTTGATGGAACAGAAGGCACTTTGAATGCAATGTGTAATATCTTGGACCTGTTATATCAATGTTCAGGTTTAAAACCAAACAATAGCAAAATGAGTGTGATATGCCTGGGCACAATGAAAGGCTCCCCTAGAATCTTGTGTGAAGAAAGGAGAATCAAGTAGATGACTGGGACATTTAATATTTTAGCGATAATCTTTTCTACTAACATGTTCTACCTGAAATATTAAAAGAATACTCACCATGTGGAAAAGGAGGGGTCTCACAGTAATAGGAAAAACTCTTATCAAAAGCCTGGTTTTATCAAAATTAAATTATCCATTATCAGTTCTCCCTAATCCACTGGCAAAATACACTACAGAATTAAATGCTGTCCTCTATAACTTCATTTGGAATGGCGGGTGGAATAAGGTGAAAATGTGTACTTTAATTTGTAATGTTGAGAAAGGGGCCTGAACATGACTGATGTGGAAACTTTAATTTGTGCTACTAAGATTAGCTGGATTAAACATTTCATTGTGTCCAGCCTTCAATGGAAACTACTTTTTATCATTATTACTAACATTTATTTTATGAATTATTTCTGGGTGGGAACAAAACAGTTTTTGACTTCAAGAATGGCATCAGTGAATTGTGTCACCAGGTGACTAGAAATGCTGTACAAATGCCTAGCATACATATTATACTTGTGTAATTTAATGTCTATTTAAATGATGGGTCATATACCCCTTGTTGGAATGTTATGGTCCAGAGAACAGATCATCTTGTCGGGAAATTTGAATACAGAGTATGTTACCGAGACATTGATACCTATAAAACTATGCCTTCATCGCATGCTCGGGGCTATTCCATCTGGCGTAACCACGTTGGACATCATTGTCTGATGCTCGTACACAACTAATGCAGAGAAGTTACAAGTCTCAACGGACCTCTTGTAGAACTGACATTACAGCGGACTGACTTTAACCATTGCTGGCTGCAAAACGGCGAAGATTGCGACAACACATCGACGGAACTTACTGTCTGTGTATCCCCAAAGAAAGCCAGCGGTTCGTCTTCGCGTAGATAACGTCAACACGTGGTTGAAACAGCCATAGCACTTCGTAGAACACGTTTAATTATTATTCACGTTCAACTGCAAGTTCTGCTTACAGACGTTGACATTCGTCGTATGATACTGGTCAGTAACGCTACGTTAGGGTTACATATTTCATGCATATTTTGAGCTTATTATTGTGTATATTTTGAAGTGCACTTCATTTATTTTATTCATCAAATTATTATATAACTGCTGTAATTTTGTACCGCTTTGCAGTCATTCTTTTGACGTGCAGACGCTGGAAATTTGGCAATATTTAATGATTGGAACGGCGTCAGTCACTCATACATTGTTTACACTTGGATGTAAGCTCCATGTTACTGTACAGGCTCTAACTCGTTGAGAATTGGTTAACACACACAGGGTTCTAGTCGACTTGTATTCCTGCTGGGATTTGAGCCTTGTGCGGTGTGACTTAATTAATATTGACCTTTAATCTGTTCCAGTTATACTTAATAAATCGTTAACTGCTAGTATATGACTGCGTCTGTTGTATGTTCACACTGACTACACCGGGGTCACCACTTATTGCTTGTTGATTGTATACAAATATACAAGTCACAATTAATGCTAAAAAGTAGCAGTGGGGAAAAGAACCCACAACACAAGGGCAGTCTTGTTTGGTAGCCACACTTGACTCCGCCTTGTGACAAATTGTTTTTGGAAAGATGTTGTTTTATCACGTCTAAAGTATATTTCACCATACGTAAATACTACAGTGTATTATATGTAACAAGTCGTGCGGTTTAATGATAATACTGTAATTCTGGGTCTTTTTAAAGATTTCAGTTCCATGAGATCCCCATAAATGGCTTACTTCAATAGTAACAATGCCTAAGTTCAAGTTGATGGCAAAATTATATGAAAGCTAAGCATGTAATTTGAGAAATGTTCAGTTTGTTGTGGAGGTCAGTCAACACACATCCTCCCTCAACGCCATGTTACTCTTTTTATTAATCCCCATTCGGACGCAGTCCCAAAACGGGGACTTATGTTTTGACCTCCGTGTGTGCGTGCACGCGTGTGACCGGACCTGTATCTTAGAAATGCCTGGACCAATCCCAATCAAACTTCACACATACATCACACATGATATTATACATATTGACGTCAATTTGTTACACAATCTAATTCAAGATGGCCGAATGGCGGCCATTTTTGTGCTTAAAATCATCAAAATCAAGCATTTTTCGGCTGTTTACAGATGGATTTTGTTCAAAATTGGTATATACGTTAGACATTATAGGACCTTGATGCACATCATTTTGTTTTTCAGATAAGATTAAAAATGGCCGACTGGCAGCCACTTTGTTTTAATGAATGTGGTTCTAGTGCTATATCTCCGACTTGCTTTGACTGATTATGTTCAAATTTTAAATATTCATTATAAATCATGTCATAGATATACAGATTTATTGGTTTGACGTTTCTATTCAAAATGGCCGAATGGTGGCCATTTTTATGCTAAAAAATCATCAAATATCAAGCATTTATGGATAGATTTTGTTCAAACTTGGTACATTAGACATTATGGGTTCCTAATGCACGTCATTTTGTTTTTCAGATTGGATGTAAAATAGTCGACTGGTGGCCATTTTGTATTAATGAATGCAGCTCTAGTGCCATATCTCTGACATGCTTTGACCGATTATGTTCAAATTTTATATATTCATTGAAATGTATTCAAAATGGATGATTTTGTTTTAATTAATGCTGTTCAAGAGCAATATCTCTCAAGACTAGTTTGATGATCAGATACAAATGTCAATCATTTTAATGTTAAACAATCATCATAATCATATTCCTGACATGTTTATGTTTCAGCTATATTACTATAAACAAAACTATTAATCTTAAATTTGATAACTAACGGGGACTGTGCCATGCATGGCTTGTTTCACTTGTATTTTTGTTCACATGGAAAAGCAGTGATGCAGTATTTTGGGGATTTTACATAAACTGCATGAATAAGAAGGTAAAAAAGAAAGTGAAATTCAAATCAACCACCAGGCTATACACCAATCTTCATCAACAAGGTCAATGCAAAGTTAATTTGATTTGGACTTAAATAAGAACAAATATCAGCTTATTTTTACATGTCAGATTTTATTATCATCTAATACCAAATACTAATTGTGTAAAGCTCCATAAATTGATTTGGGATACAAGTACAATGGAAAGAATCTTAACAGTTTAACAGCACTAAATGTATCTCTGATTTTGAATTGAAAAGTGATGATTATAGCAATAATAGTTATTAGTGGGTACCTCCTTTCAAATGATCTGAGACAGTACTAAAATGTAGACCACCTACAATAAGGTGACACAGATTAATCCATCACTTCAGTCAGATACTAGATGAAAAATTAATAAATAACTATAGGTATGTTTATATCACTCGGAAATACGACAGCAACAAAAATTGATGGTTTAACGAAGAGTAATACAAATCCATGTGTACATCGAGCTTAGCATAGTACAAGTGCAATCATTTTATGTCTGCTTTTTACATGTAGACTACTTACAAAAAGAACATTACCGTATAAAAACTCTCAATAATGCTCATGCCCTTCATCTGTTCAAATGTAAATAATTGTTTTCTTATAAAGAAAGGTACACAAATAAAAAATTAGTTATGCTTTCTTTCTATTCAAGGCATAGTTTATTTTATACATAAAATCAGTAGCTGTCAATGAAAATGATAACAGGTCTAAGAAGGGCAACCAATTGTGTTCAAAGTTCTTATAGTAGACAGTAGAGTCCGGTTTCTGTTTCGAAACTTGTTTCTTTGCATCTGGTCTTCTGTTGGGAATGTTTCAACATAGCTTCTCTCATCGATAATGTATTTGTAACTACAAGACAAAATAAATAAAATAAGTACATCAAGATTAACAGAATCTTCAGCTAGAATATAGTGAAATTATGATAACCTTGCTCATAACACTAAATCAGAGTTAAAATGGTTGCAACATTAAAGATAGTTAAACTACACGTGGCTTTCCCTGTATATGTAACTGTCTAATGGCGTTGAGGTGATCATGGCACAGGGTGTGGAAGTTTGCTAGTGATAATCTGATTATAAATCCAAAAGAATTAAGAAGTAGTTGTAATGTATAAGTCAGCAACATAGAAACAAAAGTGTATCAAAAGTTATCCATGCTGTTAATTTATGACACCCCCCCACTAAGTCAACATAATGTTATTTTGTTCAACAAAATCTATCAATTAAATTTGTTAATGCTAGAAATCATGACTGCACATTCTTCACTGTTTTGTTGAATGGTATAGCCCTACAGCTTTTTTTAACAACGTTGATGTTAAGATGTACAGTTTCTCTATAGACATTATATACACATTAAGATTTTGAAAAATCACCAAAAATACAACTTTAAAATCTGTATAACTATATTAGGTTTGCCAGTGATCAACTTAGTATTACTGAGTTTAATACTAGTGTTAACAAGAAAATTTGATTATGCTAAACATTTTTGCTTGTACTATCATTTATACTAGCATTTATATATTCCATTTAAATGTAATTATTATAACAATTATTTTATTAAATATGCAAAGATTGTAATCATAAAATAAACAGATTTGCAGGTTTTCCTAGAGTATATGATTAAAAATTTTTATTAAAATGTACGCACATTGTACATGCACTAGTAATAACTGTATTGTCACACATATTTATAGTTGTATCCAAATAAAAAAGTTTTGAAATGTTGTCCGTCTTGCAATACCATCTAGTTGTCTATTGTTTCCAGCTTCGTCCAAATCGCACGGTCCTGTGTTTTCAACCTACAGGCCTCTACACGATACCGTGTGGGTTCACACAGGCTAATTGCGTATCTTAAGCAGTGAGATCTGATTGGGCGCGCCTCGAAACAAGGCGCCCAATCAGCTTGGACGTACCAAATTAGTATTAGTAGTAGGTAGTTCAGAGTTTTAAATCCGGTTTGGTCCCCGAAGACGAGGGTGGCCGGATTCACCTTAAACTAGTGGCAATCGCTCTTACCCCCTCCATCCACTTTGCACGATTTAAAGCATCCCTCATCCTCATCGCAACCTTCCCACTCTCCTCCTCCACTTGCATCTTCCACGTCTTCTTTGGCCTTCCCCTTTTCCTTGGACCACTCACCTCTAAATACATACCCATCCTCCCTCCTCAGCACATGCCCATACCAACGTACCCCATTTGCCTTCGCCAACCGATCTACCGCTTCCTTCAAACCCAACATCTGCATCAAGTCCTCAGTTAACTTTCTGTCCATCAACTTCACCCCACACATCACTCTCACCATCGCTCTCTCTGTCCTCCTTAAAATACCCAGCTCATTTTCACTCAAACACCATGTCTCGCTCCCATACAGCAATGCTGATCTCACACAACTCTTATATACTATTCTTTTCATCTCCAAGGGAAATCTCTTCCTATATACATGTAGTAGCTCTCCACATTCCCTAAACTTCACTCAAGCAAACCTTGCTCTAGCTGTCACAGCCGCCTCACAACCACCACCCACCCTTACCTTGTCCCCCAGGTATGTAAACTCCTTCACTGATTCAAGCTCATCACACAACTTTTCTTCCTGTTCCACTACCCTTCCAACTCCATTCTTACATCTTCCACACGCAAAATCCCTTGCCAATCTTTGGGTCACCCTCTTTGCGGGGCATAGACACATATCAACCTCATCACCTCCTCCTCAAAAGCCATCACAATTGTCATCACCCTATCATTTCTCCTTCTCACCTCCACCACCTTCTCCCATAATTCTTCCTTTACCAAGACTCCTACACCCCCTAGTTCATCATTATTTCCTTTCCACCACAACTTATACCTCCTTCCCTCAACTCCCATCATCCTAGCCCCCTCCCCTCTCCAACTCATCTCCTGGACACAACACACATCCACCCTCCTATTTCTCAGTTCCTCACATATCTCCACTCCTTTCCCTCTCATACTTCCCACGTTCCAACTCCCTACTCTCACCCTGAACCGCCTATCGGGTTTCACACCGTCATGATGCAAGCGACGCCTGCGCGGCCCAGGATGATTGTTTGCACCATCCTTTTTCTGGTAGGCCGGTGCCGCCCACCCCAGCCTTTGGGCTGGCTGGTGCCCATGCTTGGTTGTAACTGCCATTTAAGGTTTTTTTGGAGCATGAGATAATTGGCCGGATGCCCTTCCTGACACCAATCCACTGTTTCGGCAGTGGGTCTAGCCTTTGAGGGAAACACCCATCATGCAAGGCAGCATGTGTAGAGGTATGTGCTATACATGACCTGGTCTGAAAGCATCATATGACTCATAACAGACTGTGTTCAGGAAAGAACCACTTGGTCAAGGATGGGGTGCTCAGCACTTAAGTATACCCCTACATACCCCTCAAATTATAAAACAAAATTCTACTTCCTGTTTTTGTCGCTATGAAGACATCCTTTCCACACAAAACTGCGTCGATTGCCTGTACCTGATGAGG